AATTTATATTCATTAAATAAAAGATAAAAAAAATAAAAATAAAAATAAAATGATTAGGTCATAAATGGTGTAGAATAAATGGAAAAAAAAAAGAAATAATTTGGTTGTCAATATCTGTTTTATGTGCTTAAGTACAAATAAATTATCAAACTATGAAGCGGTCTTCAAAAAGTTCATGGAAAGTTAATTCTGTGTCCCTGGCTTCCACCCAGTCCAGCCTTGGCTGTTGCAGACATGTGGGTAATGAACCAACCAACAGAATATCTGTTTCTTTCTCTCTGCCTTTCAAATAAAATGTAAATAAACATATAAACATTGAAAATATATGTATAATCTTATAGCATCCCTACATACAATTTGCATGTTATAAATATATTTTATACACACTGACATATGTACGGAATCTAATATATACATGTATTTAATTTCCACAATATACTAGGTAGGTAGTAAACACGTGCGACCTCAATGTGCTAACATCTATACAAATTGAATTGACACACACCATCAGTAGGTGCACATTTACATGTATATGTACATGTAAACACACACAGTGCACATGGTTCATAGTCTCTGTGTTGGGTCCTGATGAAGCTTCCTCCCTCCCTTTCTTGACCAGCTACCTCAATCTTCTAAGATTGAAATCATCACAAATTCTTGTTTAGCTGCAAGATTTTCACTCACAGATGATCTGCACATAAATGCACAAATTCATATATGTGGATATTACACTAATGTATTTACAGCATTCTTCATCCTCAAAAGGGAATGAGAAATGCAAACGATTAAGGAAGTATAAAAAGGAACCAGAGTACATTACTGGATTTATTCCATTGGTTCCATCCAGAACACTAAATAAGACAGAACTTCAAATTTATCTGTACTGTTAACACCTCCAGTGAAACTTGCTCCTTTGCCAACCTCGACAGTCTGTTATTTAATGAAATTCATAAAATGCCCAAGAAAAAGATTTCTTAAGAAATGCTAAATTAGGGTTGTATTAACAACCTCTCCCAAAATGTCTTTCAAGAGCACCAAATAATTCTAATTTAACATAATCACCGAATAGCTCATGTTCTCAGAAAAGAAAAACTCAAGTTAGAGAAAGTAATTAAAGCCAGAGTCACAAGTCAATACGTTGGCAGTTCCAGATACTCAATCTGCGTGTGCTGTGGTTTCCAGTAAAACACTAAAATGAGGTAATTTTTTATTCTTATTATGGTCATGACTCTTGCAAAACCTGAGCAGGGTAAAAATAAATGTCTTCATTTTTCTCATTAAATGCATTCTGTGGAGTGTTTTCAGTGTCTCTTGCTAATGAGACTCTCTCAGATCTTTAACTTGCATGCAAAAGGAGAGAATTCCTGATGCCCTGAGGGTAATCTGAACATGTTTAATGCAGACTGAATCTCAATTTAATCCATTTGTTTGATTCCCCCTGTCTCTGTAAATCCAGATACAGATTGTGAACTTGGTTCCTGTGTCACTCTCTCCCCTCCTTGTCTGTCTGCTGCCTCTCAGACTTACTACCTGGGCTGAAAGAGGCCAGGAGGAGAGATTACCATGTGCCCGGAAGAGGTAAAACTTTGAAAAGTCACAACACACAGAAAAAGAGGGAAGTGGGATTACGAGAGAGAAAAATTTCCTTTTTGTGAACCTGAGTAGATTAGCTGATCTTGCACAACTAGTAAAGAGAATTCTGTATTTTCATAGCCCTGGGTGCCATGCTTCTTTTCTATTTTCTCTTTCAGAGCACTGAAAATAAATACATACTGATTTTTAGAAGACTAAAATTTTCAAAAGATATGCCAGCACTCAGCTTTATGCTCAGAGTAAGGATAAATGCTTTCATCTAAAAATCTCATCACACCTAAAATAATATAATTATTAGACTATACAGAGTATACACACACAAATAAATCTAGAGCCCAAAGATTCAAAATGTAATGCAGAAAACACTGGTCTCATAAGTTAGCCTCAGATTTGGTCAATACTGTCTTATGCCAAGAAGCACAACAAATTATAGCATGCAGATTGCATGCAGGAATGCAAGAAGGCACAAGCGACAGACAGGAGGCTATGTCATTACTGTGGTAGGTTTCAGGATTTCTCAATAATTTACAGTTATTGGTCAAATGTAAATGATCACCATATACAAAATACAACCCAACATTATGAACTTTAATATTTTATTGCTTTATTTGAAAGTCCTTTGGTCTATCACCTTGCCAAAGACCTATTGAAGCCTGAGTATGTCATATTCATGAATAAAGCTTTGTGTAAATGCATTCCTTAACCCTTAAATTAACTGCAGTATATAAGTCATGGTTTAAGCTTTTTATTTATTTTTTAAAATATTTATTTATTTATTCAAAATGCAGAGTTAGAGAGGGGAGCAGAGAGACAAAGAGAGAGAGAGGAAGAGGGGGAGAAAGAGAGAGAGAGAGAGAAGTCTTCCATCAGGCTGAAGCCAGGAGCTTCTTCCAGGTCTCCCATCTGGGTGCAGGGCCCCAAGACCACCTTCTACTGCTTTTCCAGGTGTATTAGCACAGAGCTGGATCAGAAGTGGAGCAGCCGATGCCCATATGGGATGCTGGCACTGTAGGCGGCGGCTTCACCAGCTATGCCACAGTGCCGGCCCCCATAGCTTGATCTTAAAGGAGTCTCTTGGATTTTTCTGCTAGTAGGTTACACCCATACTCCCTCTCAACTGTGTGTTTTAGCTTTACATGTAAGTACATTTTAGTCCTCTGCTAATGTTTATCCACATCTCTTTCTCGAATTCTTGCTTGTATTGAGACAAGCCATCTGATGACATCTTGACCCAGCAACCCCACAACACTTTCTTCCTCTCCATTCCCCAGGTTTTCATGAGTGGTTGGGGTTTTAAACTCTCCAGACACATTCTTCTAGAGCTTGCAGTGGGTCTAAGTTTCCACATTATGAATTACCTCCTGCTTGATACATGCATGATTATGATTTGGGTTTCTGTCCCCCTTACACACTGACACGCTTAATGTGATTTTAAAAAACTGTACTGTGTCTGACTCATAAGTAATAATAATATCTACTTGATGATGTCCTGCACATCACTCAAGTCCAGGTCTAGCAGATTTACCTTTGTGAATTTTTGAAGTATCAATTAGGCACATAATCATTCATCCTACCCAACTGTTTATCTCGTGCTTCCCATTCCAATATAACACGCGACCGAGTATGTTTGGGTAACTTCAGCTCCTAATTGTCAAGTACCTGCACAGTTGTTCAAACTCCCCGTTTCAACTGTTTTTCATGGTTAGATTATATAACATTTCTACCTGCAGAGCACTTTGGTACATGAGAAGGCTTTTACCATCCCTTCATGAGTCTGACATGAGGAAGAGAGAGCAGAGAGGGTAGAATGGAAATCAAATCTTGTAGCCACTTCAGGCCCTGGCAATCCAGCTTAGAGTCCAGAGTTAATCTTGACCCAACAGCGAATATATATGTGTTGTCACATTTCCAATCCATATATTTTCCTATTGTGACCAGAAAGTTAATTTCTGTGTGCTTAAAATTCAATCTGAATTCTTTTACACAAGATCTTAATTTGCTCACCTGAATTCCAACATCTGTGATTTTACCACAGTCAGATAGAGAAAGTTCCTTCAGTTTTTTGTGTCTGGAAAGTACCATCAAACCCTAAAAATACAAAGAGCATTTGGTGATTATAATTCAGTGCAGAAATCACCTGTGCAATCTAACAACATAAGCAATTTGTGCAAACTGGGAAAAAAATTAGCTTCTTACATTTCTTTATGCCTACAACTTAAAATCACTTTAATTAGACAATGACATTAAATTAAACTTTCAATTTGTCCCTAATGTTTTGCAAAAAGTGTTGAGGAATCCCAGAACCAGAAAATTCCTTATCTTGCTCCCTGTTTCCAAGTAAATGTTATCTGATTCCATATAAACAAATCTAACTTACAGCTTTATTTTGAAGACACTTCACGAGGATGAATGCATTTGTCATACATTCTTATTTATGCCTCACGTAAAAACTTAAAATCTTCAGCTCATTTTATGTCTAATGCCTTAAAGAAAAAGGGAGAAGATCTGTAAAAGGCCTAGAGGGAGACAACTGTCCACTAACAGCCAACTTCTTTTTCAGGTAAATCATAACAGATCACACTTCTCAGCCCTTACATTTTTGGTCATGCTGTCTGGTCTCTCAATATTCTCCCTCTCCTCCCCCAAACTGGCTGGCACAGCACTCAGATAAGGAAATACAGAGTGTGGCTTATACAAAGGCTCTGCAAATACAGTTCATGGAAAACACACAGCATGAAAAAAACTATGCAGGAATCTCAAAATTCTTTCTGTCCCCAAGTAAACCTGTCTTTTCATTCCACTTTTCCATGAGTTTTCTGGCACCCCTTGTAGGTGCCACCCTCCAGTTCAGCATTCAGGACTACAGCACTTTGATAATCCCATGTGATGTGCCTCTAGGACGCAAGAGCAGCTTTTATTCCCATTCTATGATTCCAGAGCTGCAGAGTAGAGAAAATGTCAGAACCAGAATATGGATTTGTCCTTTTTATATTTTCAGACAGGCCTTACATTTTATTGGTTTCAAATACAGCATTTGAACCATCATTAAAAATAGGTTATGAAAATATTGATGATCCTACTTTTCCTTTCCTTTGTAATAATAGCAATAAGAATAAGAATAAAATCCAAATAGGGTTGGGCATTGTGTTGTAGCAGGTAAAGCCGCTGCCTGCGACACCAGCATCCCATATGGGTGCCAGTTTGTGTCCCAGCTGCTGCACTTCCAATCCAGCTCCCTACTAATGGTTTTGGAAAAGCAGCAAAGATGACCCAAGTGTTTGGGCCCCTGTCAAGCACATGGGAGACCTGGATGAAACTCCTGGCTTCGGCCTTGCCAAACCCTGGCCATTGTGGCCATTTGGGGAGTGAACCAGCAAATGGAAGATTTCTCTCTCTCTCTCCATGTGTGTATGTCTTTCCCTTTCTAACTCTGATTTTCAAATAAATTTTTAAAAAAAAGTCCAAATCAATGAAAAAAGTACTTGATTTAAGCCACTATTTAAACTGTGATTTCTAATTTCATTTAACAGTCTTGCCCACCACCCCCAAATAAGATCAGTCTGTTCATTCTTTTAACTTGATTGTGACTACAATTCTTTTGCTAGGAACATATTATGTCTTCTGCCTCCTGTTTCAAAAACAAAGAATGACCAAACCCCATGGAGCCATTGACTGTGGTCTGGGTTCCAGATGTGGATGCTAATTGATTCATGTCAGAAGAATTGGAAGGGTTGGGATATTCCCCCAATAGAAACCAAATTATCTGAACAATACCAAGAAGGGAAGCAAGCTTTGTCCCTTTGCCCTATACTTGATCATAGTGAAGTGTTTTTTTGTTTGTTTGTTTGTTTGTTTTTTTAATCCTCTGGGGAATTTGTCCTATGAAGTTATCTCTACAGTTTGTATTTGAAGGTTTACTTCCATGCTGACAAATTAGAATGCTTTTTAAATATTTATTTTATTTATTTGAAAGACAGAGTCACAGAGAGAGGCAGAGACAGAGAGAGAGAGAGAGGTCTTCCATCTGTTGGTTCACTCCCCAAATGGCCACAACATCCAGAGCTGTGATGATCTGAAGCCAGGAGACAGGAGCTTCTTCCAGGTTTCCCATGTGGGTGCAGGGGCCCAAGGACTTGGGCCATCCTCCGTTGCTTTCCCAGATGCATTAGCAGGGAGCTGGCTTGGAAGTGGGGAGCCAGGACTCAAACCGGTTTCCACATGGGATGTCAACACTGCAGGCCAGAGTTCTAACCCAATGTGCCACAGTGCCAGCTCCTAGAATTTTTTTAAGGTAAGCTTTAAATGAAGTGCATTTGCTAGGTATGACATTTAATAGCTTATGTGTTCATATGATCCCCCAGTTCTACTCCGAGGTTTATATATCAAAGAGACATTAAAATATGCCCCCAGAAAACCTTGTACTACACAAACGTTCATAGAAGCAACACTTATCATAGAAAAATGTGGAGACAACCCAAATGTCTATCAACTGATGAAAGGGTAAATAAAATGTGCTATATGCATACAATGAATAGCATCTGGTAATCAAAAGACACAGGCCACTATATGGGTAAACCTTGAAAACATGATCCTAAATAAAAGAAGCCAGACCCAAAAGGCTGCATTTCACACGATTGTATATGGCAACTATATAGAAACAGGAAGTAGAACTGGAAGAGCGATAGAAATAAGGTGTGGTTGCTCATGGAAGAGGGTTCTTTTTCTAAGTGATGAAAATGTTCTGGAATTAGATTATGGTGAGAGTTATGCAACCCTGTGAATATCCTCGAAACCACTGAATTGTACAGTTGATATCCATGAATTTTATGGTATGTGAACTCTTTCTCAATAAAGATGTTAAGAAAGTGAATTGATTGATGCGGTAATTGTATAAATGAAGACAATATTCCCACAGCCCACCAAACGCCTCCTCCTGCATTTCCTCTGAACAAGTGAAGTGCACCATGCACATAAGAGAACTTGAGGGCTTCGGGATATGCGTGTGTGAGACACCCAGAAGCTTTTCTGAGTAGTGACCTAAAGTACGACACAGGCGGTTAGGTACATGTTCTATTTGGCACCTGAGGTTCAAAAATGCTCCAAATTAGGAGGTGTTCTTCTAAACAACTGACAGTTTCAACTTTTTAAAGATTTTTCTTTGTATCTGTAGAAAGTCTTAAATCTCAGATCTAGAAAAAAAATCATTCTTAATTTATCATTCAATAAATATTTATTTCGCATGTATAATACTGATCAGAAGCTGGGATAGATGCTTCACAGATGTAGAACAGTCCATGAGATGCTGTGTTTGTTTCAAGGAACCCACAGTGTGGCCTGGCAGACAGACATGAGGAGAGGACCGTGACAACCCAGGGAGAGGTCAGGACCACACAGTGGTGTTTGGGAGAGGGGTGTTCGGGCCAGCAGCTGTGCCTGGAGGGCTGCCTGGAGGAGAGTCGTGAGCGGCAAAGTGTAAGTCGCCAAGACGAAGGAGGGAAGGACGCTCTAGGCAGGAGGAATAGGAAGTGCGAAGGCATTACATTATGAAGTAGGATGGCATGTGTGAATGGATTTATTATGGATATTTTTAAAATTATCTGAAATTGATCATATAATTCCTCTGAAGGAGGAAACTGTGGATCATTGCTGCTTTGTTTTGTTCAATACCTTAAGTGCTTGAGATGAAAAACCTTGGTGGTTGACTGGTGCTGAGGTTTTATCTCTGGGAAGATGGAGACAGACAGCAGAGTGGGCATTGAAGAGAAGAACGGGGCGGGAAGAGGAGCCAGCAGCCTGCAGCACTGGGGCCTCAGCGGGGCAAAAGGCAGACTGATGCCTGCTACTCAGGGAGCCCTGGTATCACTGCACGTGTTCTCCTTTCAAAGTCAGCCAAACCCTCGGATGCTTTTGCAGAGAGAGGCTTTGGTTTCCTCTTCCCAGGGTGTAGACGGAGGCTCGATTGCATCATCAGGTGAAGCACAGAGTCACCAGCAGTGCAGGCTGTGCGAGAAGATGAGGCTCGGGGAACCCACAGCAATCCTGGGGAGCACCCCAAAGCCCATCGAAGTGAGGGACCTGCCGCTGAGGCCATCAGGGTCCCATGGAAACCTGGCCGCATGTGACAGCCCTGGTTTCAGGCTCACACAGGAAGCAGGTGCCTAGAGCCCAAGGCCTCGGACCTATCCTCTGGAAGCTGGATGTCACAAACCTCCCTGTTGAGGAACTGTGAGCTGGTACATGAGTGACCATGACTCCAGAAAGAAGGAGGCATGTGTTTCCAGAGAGGTAGCGGTTGGAAGAGGTGGCCCTCTAGGAAACACTTGCAAGGAGGGAAGAGGATTTGAACTAAGCCTCAAGGCTGTGCTTTTTGATCAGCGCGATGATGGGAACAGCATTTCAGGCTGAGATGTGGCGTGAACAGAGACTTCATGGGGAAAGTGTGAGTCGCTGGGCAGCATTTCAGTGCAGGGTCACTGGGAGCAGCGGGAGGGAAGACTCAACACCGCCAGGAACAGATAGACGCACGCTGGACATCTGGGAGAACACACATTCTTGAACACTCCACTCTATTTCCCAAAATTTTACATCTGGAATTATTTAGCTGATGTAGACGGACCTTAAGCTTGAACTTGTTAGCAAATGTTGGAATGAGGGGTGAGTGAGCGTGTGTGTGTGTGTGTGTGTGTGTGTGTGTATGAGTGTGCTCGCTTACATAACTGAATTATGTTATTCTAGTTTAGAATATCATTAACATACACACCCCTCCTCCAACTCTTTATTTTGAAATTATATGAATCTAGAGAGAGTTTCAAAGTATGGTACAAGGAACATCAATATGCCCCTTCACCTATTTTCCCAATTATAAACATTTGGCCACATCTACTTCACTGTGCATAGCATACACATTTTCATTCATAACTATGTAGGAATATGAGGGTCCTTCAAAAAGCTTGTGGAAAATGTCTATTGTGAAAAAGCTATACGTGGGTTTTGAATATTTTTAGCACCAAAATATACTTATTTTTAAGTCCATTTTCTATGAATTTTTTAAAAAGTACTCTCATACAGTTTTAGATTTATACCAATAG